GGGGCGCAGGGTCTGGAGGCATGGGGGCTGCCCGAATCCTGAGTGCTACCAGCTTCACGGTTTTGCCGGGCAGCCTCCAGACCCTGCACCCCTGGCTGGGCACTTCCCCTCCCGGGCTCCAGCTGCGCTGGGGAAGCGCCGGGTCTGGAGGCTGCCTGGCAAACCGTGAAGCTGGTAGCGCTCGGGCAGCCCTTTTCGCGTGGCTGGGAGGGAGGAGGGGGAGTTAGGGCGGGGACGGGGTGGGGAATGGGCGGAGTTGGGGTGGGGAAGGGGCAGAGTTGGGGCGGGGCCAGGGGTGGGGAAGGGGCGGGGCCAGGGCCCGTGGAGTGTCCTCTTTTTTAATTTTTTAAATATGGTAACCCTAAATAGGACCAGACTCCTGTAGAGCAGTGGGCACTGTCTGGGGTTTTCTGCTCGGTGTCCCCGTCTGGTTCCCTTCGTTTGACCCTTTAACCTCACTCCTGTCCCTGTTCTTTTATTAGTTGTCCCCCGTAATTTTTTGGTCTCCAGGTCCTGTGGACCCCCCCTTAGGCTCGGGGGGATTCTTTAGGACCAGACTCCTGTACCCCACTGGTCTGGGTCTGTCACAAGATCAAAGATATATAAATCTATTATTTGAATCTTGTAGTTTATTTCCATACCTGTCTGTATGCATATCTGTGCATGTAGGGGGATAGAGGAGAAAGGGACACAAATTATTCCCTCTTTTGATATTAATAAATTTAAGAGAGAAACTATCAATCTGAAAAAAAACCTGTTGGAAGAGGAGATAGTTTATTAGGGTAATTGATCTAATTACAGTAATTCACTGAGGCTGAAATTCATCTCCATGCAGAGGGTCAGCACCAGGCCTATGCACTTAAGTCCCAGTTAAGTTTACAGGAGATGTAAGTGGTACATAGGATTTTTGCTGGCCCTCTGCACAGGGGTGACTTTCACCCTGAGAGAATTAGTGGATGATTTGAGCTTTTTCATTTTTATAAGTGTCCAGAAATGTTATGACTCTCACAAAGTGTATGTATGTCATTCTTGTTTGAAAAATCCTATGTTCCTGAGCTGAAAGTTTCAATTATGTATAGACGAGCATGATGATGCCAAAATAAATACTTTGAGGAAAATGTTTGACTAGGGAATTGACAATCTATTATCTATAATGGACTGAAATATTTCTTTGTGTCTTATTCTAACAGGCTACGAAAGCTCATATAAAGCTCAACACAAAGAAGCTTTACCAAGCAGACGGCTATGCAGTGAAGGAGCTGTTAAAAATAACTTCTGTGCTTTACAATGCCATGAAAACCAAAGGAATGGAGACCACCTCAGTGTCCGAGGAAGAAAGCAGCAAATTCAAGTTTGACCTTGGCTCAAAAGTAAGGAAAATAAGATTCTTTTTTTTTGTAGTCATGGAAACCAAATCCATTTGCCTCATAAGCCTACTCACAGAATGTATGCATTAGTACATTCTTTTCAAACTCTCCCTTCCTAAATTTACCTGCTGTGACACATTTGGTCCCTATCTAATCCCAAGAAAAACTTGGCTCATAATGGTATTGAAGTTTAGTACAGAACTGGTCATCTCTGCTTTGGAGCAGGACTGGAATAGTAGGGAGCGTGGCAGGGCAGAATTGAAGTGATTTGGCATAATTGTGTTGGAGAAGCATGGGGAGTACTCACTGCAATATGGGCCTGAACCAGTGCCTGTTGAAGTCAATCGGAGTCTTTCCCTTGAATTTATTGGGCAGTGCATCAGGACCTATAGAAGCATTTAAAATAGAAATTGCTCAACAAATACCAAGGAAAAACAGAACACAGATACTCTCTGAATAGGAGAAGTCCTATCAATGTATTTGTTTATGATGAAGGAATAATACAATTCTTTTAAAATTATGCTACATTAATGTGTCAGGTGATATTATAGAATTTTCTTTAAGAAACTTCTCCCTATCTTGGAGTAGCCTGTTGTGTGCTTCCTGTGTTAGTATTGTAATAATAGAGCAAATTTGTAGGCCCAAACTTGAAAAGTGAGTGAAAGTTTATAAAATGTCATGATAGCCTATAACAACAAATGTTGATGGGAAAAGGTAAACAAGTGAGAGAGACTGAATTAGTCCAAAAAAGACCTATTAATATAACTCAAGGACTATTAAAATCAGGCCTGGTAAGCAAGAGAAGCATGGGATTGGAAATCAATTAACCCAGATTGGTGTGTTGCAAATTAGGCCTAATAGGTGGACAAAACGATGAGAGGATGGGCTATTCCACCTGTCACTCCCTTTTGGGGTCTCTAAAAGAAAAGACTTTGTGGGGGGGGGAATCAAGAAGAAGCTGTCTGCCAACAGTGGCTACAGTGAGCTTTCACCTCCCATCTCTTGGTGCCTTGTGAGCTTTACCATCATGGCTGTCACCTCCCATCTCCTGGCACCTCAGGATCTACCATAACACTGTTGGGCCTTTGTTGGCCTGATCCTGAAAGATGTCCTGAGCAGACTGGGTCAGAGAGAGGGACCCAGATGATGTAGCCACTTCCACCGACTTTGGCTAAATCCCAAATACCACCTGAGATGTGAGTCTTTATCTCCTTCCCACCCTTATTTCTTTTCTTTCCTATCTCTCTCCTTTTGCCTACTGTTTAATAAGGGTCTGGCTTAGCCAGCCAAGACTGCATCTTTTGCAGCATTGTTGTGAGTCTGGTACTAAAAAGGCAGATAAAAGTAGTGCCCTCAATCACCTGAGCCAGGTCTTGGAGCGGCTGATAAAACCGTGTGCTGTGTCTGTTTTTTTTCCAGTAGTGAGATTGCAAGTGAAAGTCAACACCAGAGAAGGAAAGTGCATTTTCTGTCTTTGCTGTTCTTTCATTGTGTGTGTGTTTGTCTTATGCCTTTTAGAAATGGGATTGGACTTCAACTACAAGAACTCAAGCTCATCTTAACATTTTCTTTTCCCCAAAAAGGAACTATTATCGTCTTTAATAACAACAAAACACTGTCAAATGGGAGTGAGGGGTGGGCTGGGGCGGGGTGTTCCTTGTGAAAGCTCCCTCTAGCTAGAAGGAAAGGGAACAAGGGATGTTATTAAAATGAAAGCCTTACTTAATGCATTACATTTACATTTTAAATGCTTTAACCTCTTTTCTCTTCTCTGTATCTTCAATAAAAGGTTACAATATTTTTAACAGTGATACTATACAGGCTGACAAGTATCAGAGGGGTAGCCGTGTTAGTCTGAATCTGTAAAAAGCAACAGAGGGTCCTATGGCACCTTTAAGACTAACAGAAGCATTGCTTCTGTCTTAAAGGTGCCACAGGACCCTCTGTTGCTTTATACAGGCTGAGGTCTCTATGTACCAAACCCTGAACCATGTTTAAACTGTTCAGTTAGTGAGAGCGTCATGTTTACACCTTTGACTCTATGTGCCCATATAGACCATCAAAATTAATACTACATCGGTGCTTTGAGAAAACAGGAAACCAAATAACACATTATTAGTATACATTACTTTAATTGTTCTTCCAACCTAGGACACCTCCCTGTCATCTGTGTGAAAATGATCAGTTTCCAGTGGGTTTGCAATAGTTACCCAATTGCCCAGGCCAGAGGAGAAATCCTAATTTTGTGGAGTTTTGCCATTAGCTTTGGAAATTTTGCCATTGGCTTCAATGTGGCCAGATTTCACTTCAGAAGTTTATACAGATTGGACATAATCCAGACCTTATTAAAATCAGTGGAAAGACTCCTGTTGATTCCAGTGGGCTTTAGATCAGGCTTTCTAAGGGGACGTCTGCACTGCATGCTTCTTTCGGTGGGACGTAGTGTACATTCCCTTGTATCGCCCCAGAACATGTATAAATAGGTGTAGCCGGTGAGGCATAGCTTAGGCAAGAATGGTGCAGATATGCCTGAAGGATGTGGGTATCTATGCGAGTACATATTCTACATGGCTCCCTGCTCACCCAAGCCATGCGTCCGCCTCTACACTGCTGTTTTTAGCCATGTAGTGTCCTGCTGTCTCCCTGCTGCTGGAGCCCTTCCCCACCGTAGGGAAAGACTTGTCACAGGGAAAGACAGGCAGCAGAAGGGCAGTGGAGAAAGGCTCTGCCAGCTCCCCATTGCTGGAGCCCTTTCCGCCACAGGGAAAGACTCTGGCAGGTGCGAATGGCTTTGCCAGTTCCCAGCTGCTGGAGCCTTCTCCTGCCACAAGGAGAAACTCTGGCAGCCAGGAAAGACTTCAGCAGCTCCTTGCTGCTGGAGCCTTTCCCCATGAAAGGGAAAGGCTCCAGCAGTGGGGGAGCAGTAGGGAAAGGTCCCTGCTGCTGGAGCCTTTCCCCTCAGCAAAGAAAGACTCCAGCGGGGGGAAGGCTCCCCCGGCTCCCTGCTGCTGGAGCCCTCCCTGTGACAAGAAAGGACTCCGGCAGCAGGGAGTTGCTGAAGCTTTCCCCTGTTGTCTCTCCCTTGCTGGAGCATTTTACTGATGTGTAGCTACACACTGCTGTCTGGACGCAGCTGGCTTTTCCCTGCAGTGTGTAAAATTACACATACCCTCCATGCTGCCGCCGGTGGTGTGTAGTGTAGATGTAGCCTAGGAGAGATTCAGGCACCATGTTGGTCACACATATGGTTTTAATTTGAAAAGGGACAAAACCTTTCACAACTTTTCTGTGATGGCAAAGAGACTCTTCCATTGTTTGATTTTTTATGCTGTTCTTCTAGATTGCTGATTTGAAGGCAGCCAGGCAGCTTGCTTCAGAAATCACATCCAGAGGAGCATCTCTGTATGATTTACTTGGCAAAGAGGTGGAGTTGAGGGTAAGTATGCTCTGCAGAAAGGGAACTCCGATTCACCATATGCTGCAAATGTAGAGAGAGAAACAAGTGTGAATGAGCAATTCCAACAGCTGCAATCAATATATCAGATGTAGATTCCATGTGTGAGTGGAGCAAGGTCAGATGGGTTACCCAGCTTCTCGTTCATATTATTACTTGTAATAAGCCCAAGAGAATAACTGTTTGCCAGTTTGTGTTTAGAGGTGAACTGAAATGCTTTGTAAAGAACTGCTTGAGAACTTAAATCAGTAACAGTGTGTACATACACTTTGTCATGTTCCTGTACCAGATGTGGACTGGCTACAGACACATCAGATATGTTCATCATAAGATTCTTTAATACTCTGCCAGGTATGTCTCAGGTTCATTTAAATAAGGTATTTTACATGCAGTGCCACCTAACATAATACAGTTTAGCATTCCATTAGATCTCCCCCTTTAAGATCTACATTCCTACCATTTGCAATATTTACATTATCACGCTGTCTTTGAGGTTCAGTATTTATCAGTTTGCTAAGATTCTCTGAATTGTACTGGTTTCCTAATTACATCACCCAAAGCATGACAACTTGGTCATCAGGCTGTATATTAGTTGCAATAACTGGTTGTGGTCAGTCCAGAATCCTTGAGTCGTCATCTTGTTCTGCATCTGCCATCTGTGGGGTTTGATATGTTGATTGTTCTGTCTGAGGAATAAACTGTAGATGCTGATGGTTTCTGTTGAACTCTCCACTGTCCGTTTGATCACATATGATTTGGGCGCTAAATTCCTTTTCTTTACAACAGCTGGAGCTGTCCATCTGTTTTCTTCATCCAGTTTGAAAGGAACAGAGTCACCAGGTTCTAGACCCAGCAATTCTTTTACTGAGTGATGTCTGTTGTAAAAGTGTTGATAAGCTCTTCTAGCCTTTTTATTCAATTTGGCTACTCTCTTCATGACTAGCCACTTTGGAGATAGGTGCTTTTTTAAAGTTGGAACATTAGAACAGAGTCATCTTCCCACTGGGAGTTGTGCTGGATATATCCAGTAGCTGCTATTGGTGTTGATATGTAACTCAGAAAAGCAAGGAGTGGCTCTTCTTCCTGTAGGATTTTGTTGGCTGTACAGCATTCTTGGCCTCTCCATTTACTTGTAGGTAATGTGATTTGCTAGTAATATGGTCAAAATCATATTTTGTTCAGAATGACTTAAATTCCATTGCAATGAATTGTAGTCCGTTGTCCATCACTCGTTGTTTTGGAATACTGAAGTGAGCAAAAACAGTCCATGATGACCAGGTAATGATGTCCTGTGAATATGCTTAAATTTGCAGCTAGTCTCTTCCAAGGTCTGTCTGGTAGGGTGTTGTTATGAAAGGTTCTTTGTGTTGTGTTGGTCTGTTAGTTCCTTGCCAATGCCTGACCACCACACTGACTGGTTGGCCCATTCATGGCATTTGACTCACGTAATTGTCCATGCACTTCACAGTAGTCTCTTGTGACTTCTTTAGCGTCCTTCAGATGCTTAGGCCAGCCGCCCCTAATGTAATGTAGAACTTCATGAAGTTGCATATCTGTCAAGGTTGTTTTTTGTACTGGTGTAGCCTCTTTTCTGAGACTCATCAGTATGCATCCACATACTGTCACATCCACTTTAATGTCAGCTTTGAGCTCATGGGTAGTTGAGTGCGATTCCAGGGGCTCCCCCCTGCACTGAGCCAAGACAGAAACAGGAACCCTGTTACACACACCTGAGAGCAGGACATGACCATTTTATTTAGCCCTCCCCACCCCTAAAGAATATTTTCACCAGCCATCTATGCCATGGAGCAAATAGAGAAGAACGAGTGGGGCAGCTGTGAGGAGGAGCCGGAGGCAAGTGGGAGAAGGAGGTGGGGAGAAGTGTCCTGGCTGCTTCTTCTATCTTTACGGACTCTGACAAAGTGAAATGAGCCCTGAAGACTTGCAGAGAGAAGAGGCATTGTTCTCTTTCCCCAGGGCCTTCCTCCATGGTCACCAACTTTTCTAGCTCTCTGAAAGGAAAAACTATGTTGAAACCCAAGAAGGGCTCCTCAACCTCTCATGGGGACTCCTGCCACCATATGTTGGTTGATAAGGGCTCTCATAAGCCCTCCAGTACCCAGGTAAGAGTGAGAGCCCCAGAGTGTGACTCCTCAGTACCATCTGAACTGCAGCACTCAATTCCAGCACTGTTCAATCCAGAATGGACCTTGTTGGTACTGTTGAAGTTGGTACTGTCCATATCATCTGTATCTCTGATGTCAGTGGCCCATGTGTGGTACCAATGACGACTGGCACGTGTGACATCAATAATGATGGCACTCCTCCTGACAATACTGTTGATTCCTCAGGCACCCATGGCAGCCAGGGACCTACTTTGCCTGTCAGTACTAGACTTTCCCCTCCTGCAACAGGATAGTCTCTCAGTGCTGACCTCAGTACCATCCCTGTTACCGACCTTGGTGCTGGCCTCCCCGGAAGCTTTTGCCATCTCCTACTCCTGGCTGACACTCTTCAGTGGAATCTGTCCATCATTCCCACAGATCTGTAAAAAAAAAGACCTTTCTCCTTGGTTTCCAGCATCTTATGTTTATCCCTTTTGGCCCTATGGGCATTGTGGGGTATCCCTCAAACTACCAGGTCAGTTTCAGCGTCCTCCTCTAGGCCTGGGTTTCCGACTCCGTCATCTTTCAGGAAGGCCACTGTACCACCTCCAGCTGCCAAGCATGGCACCAGCTTAGATCCTTCAGATGAGGACTATAGGAGGAAGAGCAGCAGATGCTCATTCATATATCATTTTCCTCAGTTAAAGAGACAATAATGCCTGACTCATCCTCTGATAGAGGTTGTGTGATACTAGTCGGAGTGCTTGGTAGCCCAGAAAGTCTAGGGGAAGAATTGGTGTAAGAATAACAAAATAGCATTTCACTGGAAGATAAAAATATTTTCAGGAGCTGTAGTGGAGCTAGAAAAATGTCTACCATTTTTCAAAGTGTCTTAAATTTCCATGAAAATATGATGCAAAACAGAGCTCATTTGTATTCCAGAAATGTTAATAAAATAAAACAAAATCTTTACACACCTCATTTCCCCACAGTATATTTGTCTAATCCCTTAGCTATGGAAACAGATTTCACAAGGCACCTGGCTAATGCATTGGTGACTGAGTTCAAAGGGTTAAGCTGCTTTGGTCTGCACACATCTCCATACAACTCAGACAGCTAAAATGTCAAGAGTTTGTCAATTTTTAGGGAGAATTTTAAAAGAGCACTTGGCAGTTGCTTTGAAATTGGGAATAATTTAATCGTTTTGGCCAAATCACAGTTTTTAGAAGTCCATTTAGCTTCAAGGTTCGGCCCTTAACATATCCAAGAGTAGAGTGACGAATGTGTGAAGTGAAAATCAGGGATGAGTGAGTGTTCCAGTGCAACCCCCTCTCATTGGGCCCATCAAGAGCTCTCTTCATTGGAAGCCTCTTTAAAGGTGCAGTTTCCAGAAGGGTGTGAATTATTATATCCTGTAGAGACCATACATTTCCGATGGCATAATGATTCATTGCTCTAGCTGGGACTAGCCAATTTTATATAAATGCAAGGTTTATGCTCTGCACAGATTTCTTACAGATTAAACTTGTTGTCCTTAAGAAATCCTGTCAGGTGAGAGATGGCCTGTGCCCCATTAGGGATAAGTTTATATCCTAAAGGCATGATGCTTTACAGTGACAGCCCAAAGAAAACTTCCAAATAGAACTAGAAAAGCCCTCGCATGTTTTGTTACTAATGATTTGGGCCAGTTCTGACTTTCTGAGGGATCCATCCAAACTAAGGAGTGCTGCTTCAATCCAAAGTCTGGTACATAAGCATACGGCTAGTTTTAGCCTCTTGGACATTGAATATAGCAAAATAAATATTTTTCAAATTAAAAGCTGACCTCTGTTGATACAAACTGACTTGACTAACTTTCCACTGGATTTGCTTGTTTTTGTCATTATTTTTCTTGTGGTAGTTATACGCATAGATTGTTTTATGTATTTTGTACTCCAAACTGCACGGTATTTTTTGTTTTCTTTTATAAAGGCTGTGACAATGATTTATTTTTTAAAGGCTGCTTTCTCTGAGCATTAAAATTATATTCAAAGGCATTGAAAACAAAATGTAGCTTTCGTCACCTCCATTAGAGCTGCAGAATGTCTGGTATACGTTCAGTGAAGGCCTATAGAACTCCAGTGCATTTTGACTTCCTGACTACTGTATGTCCTGATGTCCCATTCATTTGAATGGTCAGCACCATTCTAATTCCTGTAGGATAAAAGCAGCACCACAGCAGCTGATTTTTAATTGGAGTCCCTTATTCTTTAAAGACCATATATTTTGTTACTTAAAGAATATCTAGAATTACAGTAAGGCTTGAAAAATTCACTCACCACTAGTCCTTGGGGAGCTTTTCCTGTGAAACTATTATCCAGCTGAAACTATTACGTTTTGCAGTATCTAAGCTACCATTTTACAAAACAAAAATTCTAGCCCATACAACTGTATAGATGACCTTTCAAAGGTGAACCAAATGTAAGTGTTGCCTTGACAAGTCTGCACACAGACAACTCTACTGCTGTTTATACCATGAAATTAACAAAATACTGGTCAGTTTTATTTCAGTGGCACTGTTGCTCTTTACACAGCAGGGTGTATGCACCAATGAATTCTTTGACGGTTGCAGAGTATGATGTGCAATGACAGTCCCATCCACAGGTAGGGCACACCCATGCACTAGCAGTGCTCTGAATCTGAGCAGCAGATTCTTTTGTCCTCTGACACTAGTCATCACAAAGCTTGATCCAGTCCCCCTCGCTCCATCTAGAAGCTGGTTCTGCCAACCAGAGTGGAATTCTGTACTACTTTTCCCAATCCACAGATATTTCAAAGGATACTAAATAATTTTTGCAAGCATCCTGAAATCTGGGCAGCGGTCTGCCTTTCTTTCTA